CACTGGTGGAACCTCTTCTAACCGGTTCGGTAGATTTGACGAACCGGTTCTACCGAATAGGTGCGAACTGGTAGGAACCCACCTCTGGTGTATATTCCCAAGAACAGGAATCTAATCTAATCTTTGATGGGCTGACATCAGCCAAGATCTTTCTACAGTTGATACTTGCTGTCTTTGAGAAAAGAACACAATGTTGTAGGGATAAACGTACTAAGCCAAACTATAATAGTTTTCTAGTTGAATTAAAAATTTCAAAATATGTAACTGTGAATATAGATAATCTGTCTTCAGGGTTCCTTCATGTTTCAAGTCAAAAGTCTGATTTGGAAGAGCATTTACAGAAATTCAACCGAAGCATTTTTGACATAGAATCTGCTTGAAGTAACAAAGGAGAGTACACAAGTTCCTTAAGCAACTGATTCCATTTTTCCTAATATTCAGAATCACATTTCTATTGTGTAAGATAATTATTCCATGCCTTGCACTCTGGGATAATAGAGAATAAATCTTGATGCTGGATCCAATCTGGGTCGGTCACCAGAACCAGCGGTTTTGTCTTCCAAGCTTTCAGACTTGTACTGGAGCCCATCTTCAGGGAACTTCTCTCTAGCAGAGAGTTTGCACACTGTGCTAGAGAGAAATTTCCTGAAGATGGGCTCCAGTACGAGTCTCAAAGCTTGAAAGACAAAACTGCTAGTCCCAGTGACTGACCCAGATTGGATCCTGTAACATTATCCTGGGACACGTATATTTACCTTCATTTGTGAAACAAGTCTTGATTTCTATATTAACCATCATACCAACAGGATGGACAAAAATATCTCCAGGAGTAGCTGTTTCACAATTACAGGTGCCATCCCTGAAAAGGTCTGCCCCCGAGACCCCCATTCCCTTACCTTTTTGTGAATTGTGGACAATTAAGTGTCCTGCTTTGGGGACTGCATAGAAAACACAGATTCTAGTATATAAAAACAAATGTATAAGCCCAAGAAAACAAAACCATGTAGGACTTTACAAGATGGTGCCTAAACTTTGAATAAACCCAGAAACCTATTGAATTCGGTAGGTCAAAAACGTTGGAACTCTTTTTTGCTTGAGGGTGGGAGAGATAAAGGGAGCAAAACAATTGTTCTAAGAGTCATAAGACCATACCAATGGACATGGCTCAGTTCTCTGATTGATATCAGTTAAGGCCTTCTCCAAGCTCCTAATGCCCACCTGTTTGATAGTTCATAGAAAAGCGGTAAAAAAGAAAAAAGAAAACGAGGAAAGTCTTGCCCTGATGTATGTTGACACTGGCAATTAGTTCACTTGCTGGCATTCTTGTTACCCTGCCCCCCTTTCCTCTCAATACACTTTGAGACAGAAATGTATGCTTGGAAAAGGAATTCCCGTTGGGTTCAGGCAGAGACCAAAAGCTTGACGCTGGGAAAAGATGGGATGATAAACAAATCACTGGTAAATGAAATGTAGACAATTCCACCAATAAAAATTACATTAACAGCACTCATTGAAAAGAAAAAAGAAAATTGAGACTAATGGCAACGAAATAGAGGCATCCCAGCAGTGGCAAACATAAATATGAGCAGGAAGCTGGGGCTGGCATTAAAAGAGGAGGTAGATGATGGTACAAAAAGATTCTCCTCCAGTGTCTAATGGCCAGGCAGAAAGGAGGTGCCTATCTTGGCAAGTAGAGAGATCCTCCATACGTTGCTGCTGAATTATAACAAGTCCGTGGAAAAAGAGAACATCTGAAATTATTGGAAGCCATAATATTAGCGGTATTTATTCAATGTATCAGTTCAATTATTTAATAAAACTAAATCAAATGCTTGGAAAAGATAATTTAGGCAGAGATCAAAAGCCTGGCTCTGGGAAAGGATGAGATGGGAAACAAATCAGTGGAAAGTGATATTCAGCTGAATTAAGATGGCATAAGATTAAATGAAAGCAGATGTACGGTACCTTTCTTTTAATTTTCCCATTTCTTGATCTAGTCCTTCAAAATTTTAAATTCAAACTTACATTTTTAGTTACTCATTTATAAGAATGTTCTGACTACAGAAGTCGAGTGACGGGGGAGGGCTACTGGAGCTCAGAAAGATGGGGATGATGGGAATGATGATTTTACAGATACAGCAGTAACTTTATCGCCTTTCAACCAGACGTGAAAAAACCCAACCAATAACCCTGGTATATTATATTATTAATATTATAATATATTATTATATTATAAGCAGCTGCGTCCTCTTTGCTGATGACATAAAACTATTTAACACCACAGACAATACTACCACCATACAAAATGACCTTGACTATGTATTTGAATGGTGGAACAATTGGCAACTCCAAATCTCTGCTAACAAATGCTCTGTTCTATAGATTGGCAACAAAAACCAGAAAACCAAATACAAGCTGGGTGGATACGACTTAATAGATGATCAAAGTCTCTGAGCTCACTGTAACAACATTGCCAAAAAGGCATTAAGAGTTGTCAACCTTATTTTACAAAGTTTTTTCTCTGGTAATACTATACTGCTAACTAGGGCACACAAAACCTTTGCTGACCAATCCTTAAATATTGCTCACCTGCCTGGAATCCACACTGTATATCGGACATTAATACAATAGAGAAGGTCCAGAGGTATTTCACAAGAAGAATACTTAACTCATCTGCTCGCAATAAAATACCTTATGCCACCAGGCTTGAAATTTTAGGCCTGGACAACCTCGAACCGCCTACATTCCAACCTAAGCATAGTACACAAAATTATCTGCTATAACATCCTACTTGTAAACGACTACTTCAACTTCAACCGCAATAACACATGGGCAAACAATCAATACAAACTCAATTGCAGAAAATACAACTTCAGCAATAGTGTGGTCAATGCCTGGAAAGCTCTACCTGATTCCATTGTTAGTTCCTCAAACCCCCATAACTTTAACCTTAAACTGTCCACCGTGGACCTCACACCCTTTCTAAGAGGTCCCTAAGGGGGTGTGCATAAGTGCACTAGAGTGCCTACCATCCCTGTTCTACTGTCCCCATTGATATGTACTCATTTTATCTGTTCATGGCCACTTACACTTATTTATATCCATCTATTTGTACCAATCTCATGCGATAATGTCCATGTCAATGCTAATACCGAGAGGTCTTCAAACTTGGCAGCTTTAAGACTTGTGGACTTCAACTCCCAGAATTCTCCAGCATGCTCTGCTGGTTGGAGAATTCTGGGAGTTGAAGTCCACAAGTCTTAAAGTTGCCAAGTTTGAGGACCCCAGTTACCTTGTACATATTGACAAACAAACAAATAAACAAATAAAATCTGACTAACGTTTACAGAAGGATATGCGCATTCCCCCAATAGATATGATCCTCAACCCCCCCTCCCTTATCGCTCCCCGCTCAAAACCCGAAAGGGTGCCAGATCTCACAGCCCTTCACACGTGAAAAAGGCGGAATGGAAAAGAGCGGCTCTTCGTCCCCTTGGATGCCACCTCCCTTCCTCGACCCTATCATCTCTCAGCCAATGAATGCTCCGAATTTCGGTCCCCTCCGTCGCTATTCGTCACCGAGCGCAAAAAGGGAGAGGAACGAATCCTCCAATAGCCTGGCGAGATCGGCGCGGCGCGCGCGCTCCGAGGCCCCGAGTTGGGGGACGCTGGGAAGATGGCGGCGGGAGCGTCGGTTTCGGGACCGACGGCGGCAGGGGCCGACTTTGCCTGTGCGGATTTCTGCGACTTGCGGGAGATCAAGAAGCAGCTGCTGGATGTGGCGGAACGGAGCCGGGAACGCGGCCTTCAGCATAGTGGGAAATGGTATTTGGAGACGGCGGGGGGGGGACCGCCCAGGGATCCCCTTTGTAGGCTGCTCCTCTGAGGTGCCGGGAGGCTGTGGCGGTGAGGCGGGAAGGTTTGAGTGGGCGAGAAGGGAGGCGAGGAGGCTTTGGTTGCGCTTTTCCCTCTTGCGGGCGCTTGCTTGGAGAAGGTCGATCTCTGCGATTGAGCCCAAAACGACTTGATGACACTTAGGCGATCCAAATCAATGCAGGCAGTTCGTTAAGGCTTAGAAGTAACGAAACTGCCCGATTTGAAGTCTTCAACGGGCCTGGAGCGTTTTGGGTGAGGGGGGAAACAAATTCTATTAGTTCATAAGAATAGCAATAGCACTTACTTGATAATGCTTTACAGCCCTCTAAAAACGATAGCAATAGCACATATATAGCAATAGCAGTTAGACTTATATACCGCTTCATAGGGCTTTCAGCCCTCTCTAGTAGCATTTAGACTTGTATACTGCTTGATAGTGCTTTACAATCCTCTCTAAAAACGATAGCAATAGCGCTTATATACCACTTGATAGTGCTTTACAGCCCTCTCTAATGGCACTTAGATTTGTATACCACTTGATAGTGCTTTACAGCCCCCTCTAATAATGATAGCAATAGTGCGTAGACTTGTATACTGCTTGATAGTGCTTTACAGCCCTCTCTAATAGCACTTAGACTTGTTTACCGCTTGATAGTGCTTTACAGCCCTCTCTAAAAATGATAGCAATAGCGCTTATATACCACTTGATTGAGCTTTACAGCCCCCTCTAATAGCACTTAAACTTATATACCACTTGATAGTGCTTTACAGCCCCCTCTAATAACGATAGCAATAGTCCTTAGATTTGTATACTGCTTGATAGTGCTTTATAGCCCCCTCTAACAATAGCAATAGTGCTTAGACTTGTATACCGCTGATAGTGCTTTACAGCCCTCTCTAAAAATGATAGCAATAGCACTTATATACCACTTGATAGTGCTTTACAGCCCTCTCTAATAGCACTTAGACTTGTATACCACTTGACAGCTTTCTCTAATAACAATAGCAATAGTGCTTAGACTTGTATACTGCTTGATAGTGCTTTACAGCCCTCTCTAAGCAGTTTATAGAGTGAGCCTATTGCCCCCCCAACAATCTAGGTCCTGCTGATCATATCATTTTAGCAAGCAGCCTATAAGATGTTCAACTTTTAAGGTAGCAGTTGCAGCTGGGACGGCTTCCCCTAGTGTGAAGTTATACAGCATAGGGAATATTTGTATGAGTCCATGATTGCTGGGTTCATATATGATGAGCTGTAATTTGCTTAACTAGGAGTTATTGAATGATCTATAATTGATTGACTTTGGAAAACATGCTAAGATATAAACTGTGAGTTGCAAACCAATAACTGGTTCACAGAATATGGCTAGCAAGAACTCAGTAAATGGTATTGTGTAAACTTAGACAATGTGTTATGATTAACCAGGCAGTTTGTAAATAACATTTGTTCTAACACAGTGGATGTTATTGTTGCAGGGCCTCAGAACTGGCCTTTGCCTTGGACCCTCTACCCTTGAATGAACTGCCACCTGTTCCTGAACTTACAGAGGTAAGGATAATTGTCTGTATTGCCTGTGTAATACTAAATGAAAAATGATTACTTCAGTGACATTATCCAGGGGCATTGTATATTAATAGTTGATGATAAATGCAAGTTAGTAGTGAAGCCTGCAGCCGCTAATTTACTTGGGAATAAGATCCATTGAACATATTTATTTATGATTATATTGTGTATCTCTGGCCTGTTTGTTTGAAAATCTTTGGCCTGAAAAGCTCCCAGTACTACTTATTGATCAATTTAAAAATATCATTCTTGGCATTAGGATTACAATTTTTTAAAAAAAGATACGAAAAAGAATACATGAGTTGTGAAAACAAAACTACTCCGGAATCAGTTTAATGTAAGAGATTAGCCTTCCTCTCTATAGCATGGTAGAGTGGATTTGGGACTGTATTGAGAGTGGTAAATCCTCATGAAATCTTCTCAAAAGAAGATATGATAATTCTTTTTCTGAAAAAGCCAGAGGCTGAAGTTTAAGATGCCCTAGTATTCCATTGAATGTTTCATTTTTCTCTCATAACTCACCAGTCTACCTATTCTAGAAGTATTTGTAGTTTTATAAAAAATAGTTTTTCTGAAAGTGATTTTTTATGTTCCAAACATAGTGTAGGCCTGATATGCTAGGTTTTGCACATTATATAAGACTACTTATATACTGCTCCATAATGCTTTACAGCACTCTCTAAACAGTTTACAGAGTCATCTTATTGCCCCAACAATCTGGGTCCTCATTTTATTGACCTCACAAGGATGGAAGGCTAAGTCAACCTTGAGCCAGTCAGAATCAAACTCCTGGCTATGGGCAGTGTTAATCTGCAATACTGCGATCCAACCACCGCACCACCAGGGGTCATTTATTATTAAATCTATAATAATCATTATCAGAGAAGCACAAATCTTACTTTGTTGTACCCAATACAGTTTGAAAATTCACAATTAATATATTAAATTCACAATTTAAAGTTGCTGTTTATAATAGGAATTGGGAACAGGTGGTCTTCCAGATGTTACTGAACTACAACTCCTAACAAGCCCCTGTATGTCCACGCTGCGTAGACTCGATTTGCTGTGAGTTATAATTCAGCAGTATTGGATGGGAATAGATTTCCCCACTTTTAAGGAAATTAGAGAATTGAAAGCCTGTTATTCAAGAAAAATATGTTCTTTCCCACAAGCTTTCAATGCTAGCAATGTATCGTTTGTTATGGAGGGGTTTAACATAGCTTTTTTTCCACAGGAAGATGCCTGTGATTTGGATGCTTATACTCTTGCAAAATCTTACTTTGATCTAAAAGAATACGACAGAGCAGCCTACTTTCTAAGAAACTGCAAGAGCCCCAAAGCCTATTTTTTGTATATGTACTCCAGATACCTGGTGAGCTAATACCCTTTTCTTTCTGTTTCTGATGGCCGGACCAGTGTGATAAATATGGGAATATAGTACGATATACACTTGCTTGATCTTAAATTAATTGTTCTTTGTTTTCAGTCTGGTGAGAAAAAGAAAGATGATGAGACAGTGGATAGTCTAGGTAAGGAACCCAAGGTAAATCTTTCCTTTAACTTAGTTTGATTGTGGATATGCAGTTTTTTACGCATATTGTTCTTTAGAAGAAGGGTGCAATTGTTAGCATAGCTAGGCAGGAAAATAAATTCTCGATATGATACTGTTATGGAAAACACAACAGTCTTAGCACAATATAACACTGAAAATGATATAGCTCAGAGTTATCTTAAATTCCAGACCAGATAGATTTAAATGCAATGGTGCAAATACAGTATATGTGTTTTATCCTTGATTGCTGTGTAAGAGTTTTGGATAGCCTAAGAAATATTTATTTTATCACCTGAAATATAAATCACTTCTGAGCTAGCTACAAATTGGAAGGATGTGAAGTTGTAAATCATACATCCATTGTTAACATGCAAAATATGATTATATGACAGTGCAGAAAAGATGATGATTATAATAAAAGTCAGTTTTCTTTCTCTACAGGTCCCTTAGAGAAGGGACAGGTGAAGAATGAAGTTCTGAGAGAATTAAGAGTGGAACTTAGCAAGAAGCATAAAGCCCGAGAATTGGATGGATTTGGACTTTATCTGTAAGTTTGTATGAGATAACCAGCAATGTAAGCCATATAGAAGCATTTGCATTCATAAGTGAAGCAGAAATTGTGAAAATAGCAAGACTTTTCCCCCCACTTACTTATCTGCTATTCATTGTATAGCATCATAAATTGGGGCCATATGATTACAGAGTTTTGCTCTTAAAGTCTTTGCCTTTGTGTCCCATTAGGTATGGAGTTGTATTGCGAAAACTGGATCTAGTGAAAGAAGCTATTGATGTGTTTGTTGAAGCAACCCATATCCTGCCATTGCATTGGGGAGCCTGGCTGGAGCTTTGTAACTTGATCACAGACAAAGAGACGGTAAATTGTAGGATAGCTCCATGCCCAGTCCTTGTTTTCTCCCTTTGCTTGATCATTAAGCATTGACTGGTCTAGATTTGATATTGTTCATGGTGATTTTCTGATGAAGAAAAAAACAAATCTAGCTAGCATCTTAAATAAATAGCCTTGGAAGTTTTTACTATAAATCCTTTGTGAAGATCTAGCCAAAGAGCAGACACAGCAATTCTTACAATTCAGGGGAGGTACAATAGACTCCTTCTCTAAGTGTGTTCCTCTTCTATTTGGTGCTTGCTGCCAGCTGAAGTTCCTGTCCTTGCCAGATACCTGGATGAAGGAGTTCTTCCTGGCACACATATACACAGAGCTGCAACTGATAGAGGAGGCCTTGCAGAAATACCAGAGTCTCATAGATGTTGGGTTTTCCAAGAGCACCTACATAATCTCCCAGATTGCAGTGGCCTATCATAACATTCGAGGTCAGTGAATCTTTTTAAGCTTGGTGTGGGAGGGCCTTCTTTTTAGTTCTATTATGCGCTGTTCAGAATAACCATTGGAAGGGACTTTGGAGGTCTTCTAGTCAACCCCCTGCTCCAGCAGGAGACTGTATACCTTTCTGGACAAATGGCTGTCCAATCACTTCTTTAAAACCTTGTGATGGAGTACTCACAATTTCGGAAGGCAAGCCATTCCAGTGGTTAATTGTTCTCACTGTCAGGAAATTTCTCCTTAGTTCTAGTTTGGTTCTCACCTTTAGTTTTCATCCATTGCTGTTTAAAAGAGCCGAGGTGGCGCAGTGGTTAAATGCAGCACTGCAGGCTACTTCAGCTGACTGCAGTTCGGCTGTTCAAATCTCACCGGCTCAGGGTTGACTCAGCCTTCCATCCTTCCGAGGTGGGTAAAATGAGGACCCGGATTGTTGTTGGGGGCAATATGCTGACTCTGTAAACCGCTTAGAGAGGGCTGAAAGCCCTATGAAGCGGTATATAAGTCTAACTGCTATTGCTATTGTCCTGCTTTCTGGTACTTTGGAAAGTAGCTTGACTTCCTCTTCTTTGTGGCTGCCCTTCAAATATTGGAACTCTCTTACCGTGTCACCCCTAGTCCTTCCTTTCACTGGACTACACATACTGAATTCCTGCAACCATTCTTCTTATATTTTAGCCTCCATCCCCTTAATCATCTTTAATGCTCTTCTCTGCACTCTTTCCAGAGTCTCAACATCTTTTTTATACTGTGGTGATTAAAACTGGAGGCAGTATTCCAAATGTGGTGTTGCCAAAGCATTGTAAAGCTGTACCTACAACTTCTTGTGATCTTGATTCTATCCTTCTGTTAATGCAGCTTAGGGTTTTTTGTCTACTAAAACTCCTAGATCCCTCTTGCATTTGCAGCTATTGAGTAAGGTTCCACCTATTTTGTACACATACATTTGGTTTTTCTTGCCTAAGTGTAAAGCCTTGCTTCTCTCACAATTTATTTACATTTTATTAAATAGGGCCCAGTGCTTAGGTCTGCCAAGATCCATGTGGATCTTGAGCTTATATTCTGGGGTGTTGGCTGGTCCTGCCAGCTTGGTGTTGGCTGCAAATTTGATGAGTGCTTCTTCTATTTCCTCATCTAAATCGCTTATGATCATGTCATGTTGCTTTTTCTTCAGATATTGACAAAGCATTATCCATCTTTAATGAATTAAGAAAACAAGACCCTTTCAGAATAGAAAATATGGATACCTTCTCCAACTTGCTTTATGTCAGAGTAAGTACCTCTTGTATTATTCACAGCCATACAATGTGTTCACACTGCCAGAATTGTCCCAAGCAGCTTCCACCTCTTATAAATATTTCAGTCTCACTCTCTGCATGAAAATCCAGTTTCCACATAGTCAGCAGCCAGCTTTGGCTTAGATGTCTTCTGTTCATTTGAACTGTTTTGCAACTCTCCTGTGCAATGCTGTCCTTATTCCCTGCTTCACACACACCAGCACAGCATCTCTTTCTAACACACCTATATTTGGACACAGAAAGATGCAGTTCATGCATTCAAAGTGCTGGAGAAAAGGAAAAAAAGTAGGGAAGGGAGGACTTACACAGATTGTTGCATGTAACTTTACTATAAATAGTTTTCAAACATTCCAAATCCCTAAAATATCTCACCACTTTTGCTGAAAATTTGAAGATCCCTTCAGATGAAGCTGATGCTTACCTGGATACATCCATATAGGATTTTTTGGCAACACAGATTGTTTGGGATGTTTGCCTTCCTGTTTCCTCCTACGTACTAACAATGTTTGATCTTAATGATCTCTTTCCAAAATTGGCCAGTGTTAATGATGCCATTGGCATTGACTTTACTGTAAACTAGATAATATAGTGGGTTTGTTGGGCAATTAGGTTATAGTATTGCTACAATAATCAAATAAGGTTGTGGTATAATTTGTTTGAGTTTATACCTTTCTTTGCTTGGTTATCTAGAAGCAACAAATAACAGTAATATAGTACCAGAAATCATCTTGATGGATTTATTTCTACACTTATAGTGTGGCAGTCAAATTCTTAAGGTTGACTAGGTAGTTAACCAAATGGCTGAATGTAAGACCTAAAGTACTGTATTTTCTAATTTCCTTTTGCAGCAGAGTAAATTTTTGATTCCCCCTCTCCCCCCGCTCCTTTCTTCTCCACTTAATAGGGTATGAAGCCCGAATTGAGTTATTTGGCCCATAACCTATGTGAGATTGACAAGTATCGGGTAGAAACTTGCTGTGTAATTGGTAAGAAACGTTGCATTTTCTTTTCTTGAAGAAGCTGGTTTTTTCCCCCTTTTAAACAGTGCCTGTGAAGCTATTATTTTCTTTCTCTTCCCTTATTTTTTAACATTTAGGGAATTACTACAGTTTGCGTTCCCAGCATGAGAAAGCAGCACTCTATTTTCAGCGAGCACTGAAGCTGAATCCTCGGTATCTTGGAGCATGGACCCTGATGGGGCATGAATACATGGAGATGAAAAATACATCAGCAGCTATTCAGGCATATAGGTATGCATGTGTGTGTGTGTAAGAGTTAGCTCTTCTGCCTAGAGTTGGAAATTCTTTAACTGGGTGTTACCTTTTAAAGAAATTTTACCGTCCCAAATGAAATGCTCTGGGTATTGAATGAGAAAAGATTTGTAGCAATAGCACTTAGACTTATATACCGCATCATAGTACTTTACAGCCCTCTCTAAGTGTTTTACAGAGTCAGCATATTGCCCCCTGGAATCTGGGTCCTCATTTTACTGACTTCAGAAGGATGGAAGGTTGAGTCAACCTTGAATAGGTCAGAAACGAATTACTGACAGTCAGCAAAATTAGCCTGCAATATTGCATTCTAACCACTGTGTCACCACAGCTCTCTTATAGAAATAAATTATTTACTAGACACAATCTATTAACAAAACGTTAAGTCTAAGATATAATTATGGTGCCCACAGTCTGCATGTGTGGGTGGGGGGTGCGGGGTAGGAAAATGATAGGAAATAGGATTGTTTTTCCTTAGTTAGGAAAACCCAGGAGGATAGCAGCTTCTTGTTCCTTTGGCAGGAGAGAGTTCCATAATGTGGAGGCTACTGCAGAGAATGCTTGCCACCTCAATCACACCTCACGTACCTCTAAAAAGAAGCTTTTCTTGTCATAAATAAAACACTTGTTTTCCTTTCTCTTTCCTCACAATAATTCTTTTCCTTTCAAAATAAATAAATGTATATGATGATTTTAGCTATATTACTCTTCTTCTTTTTTCAAATTCCCTCCTCTTTTAGACATGCCATTGAAGTGAATAAAAGAGACTACAGAGCATGGTATGGACTGGGGCAAACATATGAAATTCTCAAGATGCCATTTTACTGTCTTTATTATTACCGACGAGCCCATCAACTCAGGTAAAACTGACTATGGTTAACCCTATTGCCGCTTTAAAAAAAAAATCAACTATCCTTGGTATGTGAAGTTAAATAATTATATATGAAATAAATTCTTTATTTGGAAGTATCTATTTATAAAGAATAATGCCCTGCAAATGAAAAAACCTTGGTTTTCAGTGGTTTTCAGACTACTAGCTTTATGAAAGGCAAAGATTATAAATTGCAAATAATAACAAAGATAAAAATGTCATAAATTAATTATTGTGGAAAAAGTAAATTTTATGCTTATTTAGTGCTAACCTTCAGGGTTTGGGGTTGTTTTGGCCCAGTTTGATAAATAAAGCCATTAATACTTGATATTAGAGTACATTTTTCCAGTAGTCGAATTTGAAAAATCCCATTGCCAAAATCTGACAAGTCTTTAATTTTTTAACTTTGTGGTGAAGCCAACTGCTCAGCAAGTTATAGATTATTTTAAATGATTTGTCTTTTGTCAGCTAGGTATCTTGTGTTTTTCGCAGACCCAACGATTCCCGTATGCTTGTTGCTCTTGGAGAATGTTATGAAAAATTAAATCAGCTAGTAGAAGCCAAAAAGGTACTAGAAAGAACAAATTTGCAACGGGGGGAGGGATTTGTGGTTTCACAGGGAAGTAGATAGGGAAATTATTTTCATCCTTTTGGTTTTTGAGATGTAGGTCATATGGTTAGTCTATCTGCATTAAGAAAGGGACAAAAAACATCAATCCCTTCTTAGAATGGAATGAAAAGTTTGATTAGCATGTGCATTCATTTCCACATGCCCAGTATAATAGGGACCAGTCATGTCTTGTTGCTTCATCCTTTGTGATGAAGAAAAAGAATGTTACTCAAACTCAGTGTTATAGTTAATTTCATTCCCAAGTCCTGATAATAAAGTTACACAACGCAGTCATAGTAATTTAATATAAATATTACATTTGAATAAGTGAAAATCCAAAACATGAGTATTTGTAGTATGAAAAAGAAAAATTGAGCAACACCACTATTATTATAATAGTGGTGTTGCTCAATTTGTTCTAATATTTAGGATATTTTTGCCCAGATAGAATAAGGACTTGTTGTCAAATATAACAAACATAGTAATTGTGAAAGAATCATTTTTATGAAACCTGTCTGTTAGTCTGATCAGTGATGTTAAAATGCAAAAATCCATAATCTTTCACATCAATTCCTGACCAATAACTCAAAAGTCATTTTTACTGTGCAGCAAACAGTACATGAGCCACCAACAAAAAGGAAATGGATTTGATTATCTGTAAAATAGTTTATGTGACATCTCTGATATATTTTAACTAGCTTACATATATTTTAACTAGCTTACTCAAGGGTGTGGGGCGATTGTGGTAACAAAGAGTGAGTTTGCATTTTGCCACCTGAGTCTGGAGCCCAAAGATGTGGAGAGTTGGGTGGCATACAAGTTTAATAGCTTATTATTGTTTACTTCATCTTTGCTTTTATCCTTGGCAGTGTTACTGGAGAGCATATGCTGTAGGGGATGTGGAAAAAATGGCACTGGTGAAGCTAGCAAAGTGAGTATGGCATTATATTTTTCTTGCCTTACTTCCTCTATTAAGGCTGGAATAATTTAAATATGGAATGTTTCTGTTTTAGAAGGAAAGGGAAAGTGGGGCTTGAAAAGGCATGTGGGCACTATGGATATTTTTCCCTAGAAATGCAGTTCAAGTTTCTAGGCTTCTGCCTAGAAGCCTCTTGCAGGGTGAATCAAGTCCTATAGCATTGTACTCAAAAGTATAATATTGAGTTGGTTCCTCCTGCTCACCTGATCTTTTTATCATCAGCCAAGAGTTTCCTCTTATTATTTGTGTCCTTTCTTAGGCTTCATGAGCAGCTGAATGAATCGGAACAAGCTGCCCAGTGCTATATCAAATACATCCAAGATATCTATTCTTGTGGGGTAAGTCAGTTTTAAATAAGTTTGGTAGAGCATGAGAGGGAAATATAGGAAAATCCCCAAAGTTCTTACAAGTAATCTTTGGTTTACGATGGAATTGGGACTGGATTTTCTGCCGTAAACTGTGATGTCACATGACCACCTCACTTTGCAGCTGTAATCCCAGTAGTCTCAGTTGCCATCATAACCCCAGGATCGGGTGGGTTGTTAGATGGGAAGAGAAAGGTGGGAGATGGGAGTCCCAGGCAAGCAAGCTGGTCACTACTGCAAGCAGGTGCTAGGGGGCAGGGAGGGGAGTGCCATGGGTCTGTGGAAGGCTCCACAAGTGGGCATGTAAATACAGGGCCCCCAGATTTTGATCACATAATCATGAGGGTGCTGAGATGGCCAGAACTTTGAAGACTCGTGGTGAGTCATTTTTTAGTTGTGACTTTGAATGGCTGCTGAATGAATGGACCTAACCCAAGAACTACCTGCATTGTATCTCAGGAAATAGGGGAGAACTTGGAATTAAGCACCGCCTTCCGCTACTTGGCTCAGTATTACTTCAAGTGTAAGCTCTGGGATGAAGCCTCAGTCTGTGCTCAGAAATGCTGCGCCTTCAATGATGTGAGTAACAGCTCCAGTTTAAGTGGACAACTTTCAACTTTTCACTGAGGCTTTATACCTGCTTCATACCTGTCCCCATATGTAAATATACAGCATTAATGTATGAGTCCCTTCTCCCCCTTCATTTGGGTAGGCCAAAAGCTGTGTCCTCCAGGTGTAATTCACATCTAAAAGTAATCTGCCAGAGCTACTGTTTTAACTTAGGATGTAAAAAATAATGCCTTGTGGTGAGATGGGCGGCAAATAAATTTAATAAATAAACATTTACTAAGAATTCTATTCAAGCCTAAGAGGTAGATAACAAAACTGCAGCCAATGAGATATTGAAAATGATTTATTCTACAGCAGGGGTCACTAACCTTTCGGACCTCAGGGACCATTACATTCATAATTTTAAATCCCATGGAACATTAATATAATTTTTTAAAAAAGATAAATAATATTTAGTACAATATAAAAAATGCAAATATTTTTTTCTGAGGACCACCAAAATTTTCTCATGGACCACCGGTTGGTGACTTGCTGCTCTATAGGGTCTGAAGTACTTCCTCCAAATAATGCTTTAGTTTATTCAGACATTTGTGCATTTACAATTTGCAAAAAAAATTGGCTATTAAAATGGTGGCAAATATAACACTAGGCCTACTACTTTTCTTTCTTAACAGAGAATGAAGTTCTTTAAGTTAATACTGACAGATCCCAGAAAGCATATAGGGCATTACAAGAAATAGTCATTTAGCTGCCTCCTCCATCACATACGATCAATACAAAAGGCAGCATATAGCTGTCTATGTTGCAGAATTCACCTCTGCTAAGCTGCCATTCAGCTGTTTAATGGATTAAGGAGGTTGATACTGTAATATTCTCATGTGCACAAGAGATTTACCATTACTGTATATCTTCTTTTCCACCTATTGTGTGTGTGTACATTCTTTTTTTTTAATATGAAGCATTACCTATTGGTTTAGTTATAATTTAGCGATGTGCCTGTGCTCAGGAACATCCATATAACCTGTTTTCTATCCCTTTTTTTGTTTCCTCATGCATCTGGCTTTTCTTTCTAGACAAGAGAAGAAGGGAAGGCTCTTTTGCGACAAATCTTACAGTTACGAAATCAGGGGGAGACACCAACTACAGAGACGGCAGCCACACCTTTCCTACTTCCTTCTTCACTCTCTGCCAGCAACACTCCAACCCGCCGAGTGTCCCCACTGAATTTATCTAATATTACACCTTGAACTGAACTACCTTTCTGTGCTGGCTCAGTTGAGAGGACACTCCTGTTGTAAACTGGGTCTTTCTCTTGAATACTGCCATTCTAGGAAGGCTTGTGTGTTCGGTTTGAGTGGCTACATCAAGTTGCTGAGGATGACTGTCTTATTGTATTGTAACCATGAAATGGTAATAGCTCAGACAGTGCAGTGAGTTGAATTCACTGTACATCCCAGTCTTCTTACAAGTCTGGCACCTGTGAGGGAGAGAGAACCTCTCTTTATACTGGCCGTGGAGTTGCTTTCTGTCCCTTCATCACACTCCTTTCTGAGGATGTCGTAATAAGATGCAAGTTATCCGTTTACCAGATTTGCATCATATTTGAAACCGCTATCACATTTATTTGAAATTGAAAAGGAGTGTCTGTGAGCACCTGACTTTGTTTTTTTATTATGTGACTAATAAAAGCTTATCTTAAAAGATAGCAACGAGACAGAGAATGTGGATGGAAAAGCGAACAGGTCACAGCTAATTCAATGCCAGGCTGAAACTGGAAACATAAAGTGATGGGTATATTTTATGCCAGCAGTGCAGTGTTGCTGCTTTCCCACATAGGCTCTAGAAATTGTAGACTATTATTTAGTTAATCTTTTGTTGATCAAGAACCGGAGGAAATTACTTGAGAGCAAACCTGTTTGTTTCTTTTGACTATCATCTTGTAAATGCTTAAACAAAGACTATGTTATTATAGCTTAATGATTGTAATCAGTCTTTAAATGTCAAGACTGTTAGAATTCAGGAATCATAAAACAATTTTGTGTGTTTTAAGAATCATTACCGTGTTTTATCAGTATATTTTCAAGAAATCAGATTTATGGCTTCTGACATGTTTCAGAGATGTTGAGACTTCAGTACTCATATTTAGTTTAATCTTCCTTCTTCTCAAGGAAACTCAAGTGTGGAAAGCAGCCTTCCAAATTTATAGCAGATAAGATATATAGTCAGTTCAGGCAGTTGCTTGGATCATCTTATTATAAAATAATTCTTATAAAGTAAAAGGAATCTAGCTATCCTATACTTCTAACTGTAAAATAATCCAACCCACAGTTGTACTGTATGGTAGTCATTACATTTGGTGCCCCGTTATATTAGAAACTGAAGCAAGACTGCAACAAAGCAAGACTGCTACCCTTTGAATAGTAGATCTATTTTTTCCACCTTAAAATCAATAAATTTGTGCACAAGGAGGTTCCTGCAAAACAGAATCAGTTGTTTGTGTTGGTTGTTGTTCTAGAAGTATCCCTCCTTTAGCCTTGGATTGCTGCAAATTATTCCATGAATTAATGCCTCACATGATTATCAAAATTATCTTTTGCTATTAAAATGAGGTATTTTATCAAATTTGGTGTATACCCATAATTTTAACAAATGCCAGAAGCAGAAGCCCATTGACAGGTGCAGGACAATGGCTACCACAAAAAGACCTTTCAAATGTAAGATACTCCCCTGAGAAACATCCCAAGACCTGAATAGCCACATGGAACAGCTTGTACTCCTGGTCGGCATAATTTGTGAGTTGTAATACATTGTTACACTAGCTCAGGGATAGTCAACCTTTTTATACCTACCACCCGTATCTCTGTTAGTAGTAACATTTTCTAACCGCCCACCAGTTCCACAGTAATGGTGATTTATAAAGTAGGGAAGTAACTTTATTTTAT